ACAAGTATATAAAAATATGGTTGATTATCTTCCAAATCATAATAATAATAGATCAAACTAAGATAAATAATAAAAATAAATTTGATATCAAATAAATTGAAATACATAGTTAAGAAAATATCTTTTAATCGATTAAAATTATTATTTTTTTTTTCATTTTTACTTGTAACGTTTTAATCACATTTTCATATAAGATATAATGTGGATGTTTATTATTTGGAATGAGTTCTAAAGCACGTTTATAGAATAATAGTGCTATTGGATAATTATGAACATCTTGTTCAAAAATCAAACCAATATTTTTATATACTTGTGCAAGATCAGGATGTTTTGGATATATTCTATACATTGATAATGTTTTTAAATAGTTTTTCATTGCTATTTTTATATGACCAAGTTTAAAATAGACATAACCAATATGATTATATAATATTTTATGTGCAGGATGATATTGTTTATGTGTATTATAAATAAATTCCCATGCCTGTCCAAAATAATTCAAAGCATTAGAATAATTTTTAAGTTTACATTCAACTAAACCTAAACTAACATAAGTATTTATAGGTGAAATAGATTCATTATTACATGAATAAATAATATTTCGAGATTTTATACAATAATTCATTGCATCTTTAATATTTCCATATTCGAAATATAACAGTCCAATGTAATTATAAATGAGATTATATATTTCATTTGTCTCATTATTTTGAAAGTTGTCCAGAAATTGAAGAACAGTATGATAATATTCTAAAGCCAATTGATATTCTCCAAATCGATAATGAGTAATACCCATATTGATATATAACTGTGAAATTAGGAATAGATTAATACCTTCGACATTGACATTACTATCAATTGCTTCTTTTACAATATAATATGCTTTATTAAATTCTCCCATCATTATATAAACTGTCCATATATGAGCATAAATCAAATTAATCATTAAAGGATCTGATATTTTTGAATATTCAAGTGATTTACTATAAGAAACAAGAGCATCTTCATATTTCTCATTTATAAAATAGAAAAACCCAATATCACGATAAAGACATGACAGTGTTTTATCTGTCAGAGAATATTCAGTGAATTCTATTGCTTTAAGAATATAATTTAATGGTTTTTCAACATTCCACAATTTTGATTTCCATAGAGAATATGCAGAACAAGTATAATAAAAAATAAAGTTATCATAATCAATTGGATTCTGTAGTAAACAATATTTTAATGATTGTTCGCCATAAATAAATGCATATGTATAATTTTTTATAGTTGAATAGGTAAGAGATGTACGCCAATAGGCAAGATATGCAAATATATAATCCATCGATGGTGAATTATGTAAAAATGTTAAGGCTATTTTACATTTCGATATTGACATAAAATAATCTTTTTTATCATAGTATATATCAGACATTAAATAATAAAAAAAACCATATTGATTATAATCAAATGGCAACGATTGAACCCTTTTTTCATAATAGAATAGTGCTTTATCAAGATTTTCGACTGAATGATATGATGATGCCATTAGAAAATATATGTCACCCTTCGTTGGAATTTCTTTTTTTCCTGTATAATCATTTAATATTTGTTCTGCTTGTTGAATATAATTCAATGCTAATTCTCTTTTGTTTGCTTTGATGTAAATTTCTCCAATTTGAAAATAAACCAAAAACATTTCTTCAGCCAATAATGAACATTGTTTTACATTGTCTACAAAATATTTTTCAGCCCGGAATATAATTGCCATATCTCTATATGGTATTTCCTTAAAGTTCAATAATTCAGTATATATTTGATGACATTTCTCAAGATAAGATAATAATTCATTCTCTGAAAATCCTTCGACATTTGTTTTGTGAATAGAGACAATATGATTAATGGTAAATATTAATTCTAGATGACATCGTGGAATCATTTTTGATTGATATTTCAATGATATTTGAAGATGATTAAGTGCATTAGAATAATTCATTTGATTATTACAGTACAATCCATAGACATAATGATAAAGATATTTATTCATCAGTGGTAGATCATCTTGTTGAAGAATTTCTAAAATTTTCTCCATATAAATTTTCTTTTTATCAGGACACAAATTCGATAAATATAAGGAAGTAGATGCTACTCGACGGGAATCTTTATGTACTTCACATAATCGTAATGCTTCTTCACCATAAAAGATTGCCTTTTTAAGATCATTATCAAGTTTGTATGCACGAGAATATTTTTGATTCATTAAGGATAATATCTTATAGTTAATAATTGATTGGTTCAATTTTGAACTAAGCTCAAACGATTGATCTAAATATGTCAATGCCATTTTAGGATCATCTTGATCAATATAAATTGTGGCGATATTTACAAGTGTCACCGATTTACTATTGACTTCATCAGAAAAAGCTAAAGTTTTAAGGTAAGTATCTGATGCAGATTTAAAATCATATTTCTTATAATAAGCTCTACCCAACATACTGTGTATATTTTCTATTATAGGATGTGCTTTTGGTATAAGATTGATAAATTTATGATAAATACTGACTGCTTCAATAGCAAAGTCAAACAGATTTTCCATGTCATCATTGTAATCATAAATTTCGGCAAGCGTAGTATAAAGAAGTATGTGCTGTATTGGATTTATTAAGCTCTTTTTTTTCAAAATAATTTCAATCATATTTAAAGATTTTTGACAATAGATCATTGCTGATTCATAATCATCGCATCTGATATACATTTGTCCAATGAGTAGGGGTGTCAGTTTCGGGTTCCGTTCCGAGGTACGGGAACCCACCCCGGGTTCCGCGTTCCCANGTAAGTAATATCAACTTCAGAAATTTGCAATATTACTTAGCTTGTTTTGATTATGAGAATACTTTCTTTGTAAAACTAATCTACCACAATTAGAAGGATGGATCGATAAATTAGATGTTTGTATGAAGTTTAGTTAACTGGATCTGCTAGATTATATCTGTTATGTTTTTATATAAGCATCAACAAAACTATGAGCACAAATATTCAAGAAAAATTCGATCGGAAACAGAATTTTTCATATTCTCGAGAAACAGAAGTTCTACGACAACAGACTGTATTGCCGGACAAAACCTCGAAATCGTGCATACCACGAATACCATGAATTGTTCCTATCAAGAAGAAACAGTAAGTTTCACTTAAGATAAAGAAGTTTGGTGTACCTGTTTTTTTCATTTGCTCCAGCCTTTCATTCAAAACTTTAACCTTAGTTCGTTGTATTTCCTTCTCTTCAAGAAAAAATACGTCGATAGCAGATTGATGTTTACCAGCAGCTGTAGCTATTTCCAATTGTTGCTTTTTCGAAAATTCATAGAAATCATAGGAACTTGACAGAAGAATATTTTTTGAAAGGGTGATACGTCTGGCAGTTGATTTTAGAACTGCGCCAATACCATCTCCTGCACTCTTGCCGTGTCCTGTGGCTGTAAAAACCCAAGAAGCATCCAAATTGAAGTCGTTCTTATGACAAACCAAGTTGAATATGTTGGCATTATTCTTGAATTGGGAGCTAGATTCATCACTTAAATGAAAATTAAAAACTACTTTGTGCTACGTCCAGAGTTAAATTTCAAAGAAAATCAGCGGAGTTCAAAATTTTAAAATCCTAAAAGACTTTATAATATTCTTAAAGACCTTGAATACTTCGAAGACTCTAACGAATTTCAAAAACTTTATCGAGCTTCACAAGAGTTTATGATGTTTTTAGATTTTCTAAGAACCATAGTATATATACCATTTTATCTTTAATTAAGCCATTGGAATAAAATAATCATGTATTCCTAGTTTAGTTTAACCTTAATTAAATTCATCTATAAGTAAAAGTAATAAAAAGTTCTCAATTTTGCTTTCCTCAGGATTCAAATTCTCAATTTAATATTATTATATTACTTTTTAATCCTGCATCAACTTTATTTACCTGACGTAGATAATCTTTTTGATGGAAGGAAAATTTTTCTTTACATAATCAGTAATGATCCGTTGAGCGCAGTAAACGAATGGCATATTATGTTCCATGGAATCACTGATTATTGCAATATCACGGTGTTCTTTTCCAATTGTTAAATGTGTTGTAAAGAGAGACGCTTGATGTTGGGAGAAGAAACCTTGTTGTACTTCTCGTTGACGAACGAGAGTATAGTTCATAGAAAAATCCATTTGAGCAACAACAAAAGTTGTTTTTGTTGATTGTCTACGAAGTTCAGCAATATATTCACGTTGACTTCGATTACAGAAGGTATGCAAAATAAATGGGAACCATTGTTCTTCTATTTGAGCTAAAAGTGCTTCAACAGAACCCGTCGTTTGTTGAAGATCAAATTTATTATTTAATTTTTGCCAAATAGTCCAAGAACAATTTTCATCAAGGTCAACGTTGATGTTTCTTGTAAGAATATTAATAAGAGATTTGGTTGAACATTGCTGACATTCACCAATAAAAACAATCTTCTTTATCATCATTACAAACCATTTCATTGATAAGATCTTTTATATCGAATAACTTTAATTCCATTGAAGAAGACTTTTTCTGTATGCGTTGACAATAGTTATTCCATGACTAAAAATAATTATTAAATTACAAACTTTTATTTTTTAAGTAAATGCAATTAGTTTCATTAAGAGAAATCATAACTATGGCCGTCTAGAGTCTGTTCTGTTTGCTCTCTTTTGTTTGTTTTTCATAAGTGATTTCTAGTTTCCATATATTAATACACAGAAAACAGTAAAACTAGGTTGTAAATCCTTCATTTCTATGTCAAACCATAAGGGTCTCAAATTTCTTAGCAGATCAAAATTATATTAGGTTAAACGTCTTTGAATAATACTCTGAAGTTAGTAAATAAAAACGTACCTTAATCAAGAGATTCATGTTTTCATGTATGATGCACATACATGTATCATGCGGTGACAGAATCTTTACATCTCGAGGGCGCGATGAGTAAAATGTTGTACGACCGACCAAACCAGGAGAACGTTCATCAAATATACGAAAGGCATCCAAGATACTCATTTCCATATAACGAATGGGTACTGTATTTTGATTAATTTGAATGGTATCTTTTGAGCTTGATGAAACACGACTAGTACCATCTTCGCGATAGAAGTTTATTATACTAGTAATTGTATCATTAGAAATTGGTGTGTTGCCTTTGAAATACTGAGGAAAAGCAAGAACACCTTCGTTCTCCCGAAGCACAAGTGATTCACGAGCTTGATGTTCGCTTGATCCGAACCTAAGAAACAAAGTACATAAAAGCTCTCATTGCTGAAACGAAACCGAAATGAAATGTTCAGCTACTAACTTCCATATTACTTACCATTTACGAATTTTTTCGCGACCCCACTTCTTAGGCGCAATGGTTAAGAGACGAACTTGCTCTGAAGCATCACTTTCATTGAATAAATTTTTCAAACCCGTCAGAAGATCATTGGATTCTTGAACAAGAAGCTCGTGTGGGTTTGGATTATTTGCTTGTACAGATTTTCCTTCAATTATATCGCATAAACCATGAAGATATATATAAACTTCATCAATTTTAGACCGAATCGAACGAGTATTTAATCTTAAAAAGAAAATTTTTTCTCAACTTAAACAATATGTAAAACTCACTTATCATGGACTTGTTTTATCTTTAATAAGTTAAAAACAGCAGATAGCTGCTCCATCGCTTGTTCTTCACGATAAGTGGCTTCAAGAAGCATCTCATCTTCACTTGGTTCGTCATCATCATCATTCTGATCACTTCCATCATCCACTTCTTCATTATCATCATTTTCTCCTTCATTATCCATCGAACTATTTCCACTTAATTCATTATCACTAACATCCATATCATCTTTATCCATTTCATGTTGTTTCTTCATCATCTTCGTTTCCACAGAATGACACTGCGGGCACAATCGATAAATATTCAACTCTTCAAAACCATAACGATTGCGTATAAAAGTGAGAAGTTGAGGAGAGATTCGACGTGGACCTGTTGCCACATAAGAAGAACCTGTATGCATAGTTGGATGTTGACATAACTTTCGTCTTGGCATTTTTCCAGTACTTTCTTGGTAACGGACAAAAAGAAAATGAATATATTATTGTAAACCAACTAATATATATCCTGGATTATCTAAAATATTATAGTGTTTGTAAAAAAAAGCCACTATCATGACGAAATGGTACAAAAGATGGCAGAAAATGTCGAAATAAATCTATATAAGCAAATGAGATAGTAGTAGTACATTTACCGCTAAAGTTAAGTTTCAATCATTGATTTGACACCTCGTCGGCTGTTCCATAGGACATACAATTTATCGATT